CCAGGACTTTCTTTTTTATTTATGAAAAATTTTTTTAAACTTTTATTTTTTTTTTTTTTTAATTTTTTTTTTTTTTTCTTTTTTAGGCGAGGCAACCCTTGGTTGACCTCACAGATTGCAAGGACCTTGTCAGTTTACAATCTATTTATTTTTATTTTTTACACGTACAGCACCTGGTCTTCCTAAGTGGTCTCCCATCCAAGTACTAACCAGGCCCGACCCTGCTTAGCTTCCGAGATCAGATGGGATTGGGCTTGTTCAGGGTGGCATGGTCATAGATGATGTAAGTATATTTCTAGCTAGACATTTGCAGATGTTTCTAAGTGGAAAAATGTCTGACACAGGATTTTAGAAGAATTGACTAATTTGGATAACCTTTGCAAAAGTATAACTTATTTAGTCCATTAGGACATATAAAGAAAAATTAACCAGAATAAAATAGTTGGTTACATATGAAAAGATGACTTATATCATAGATGGACCTTTGCAGTTGAATTTTTCATACAGAAAAATTCTGTAGGAAAGCTGTTGTTAAATGTTTTATGTCGAGAACTGATTTTTCTTATGATTGTTATTATTTCCCTTTAGACACATTTCACCAGATACATCACATTTTAATCCATCAATCATATTTGATTGTGATACTTGATTCAACTAAAACTGTCATCAGGTCTGTCACTTCAAAAATTTATGAATATTTTTGTTATTATTGATTTAATTTATTTTTTTTTGTTCATACTATTTTTCACTCTTTACTTCCTAGAGATTTTATGCAGCAGTGTTTTCCTAGGAAATCTCGAGGAACTGCTACTGGCCTTAATTACTACAGATGTTCAATGCTTAAATAACTACCATTAAGCTGTGGCATAAATAGAATATTAAATAATTTTAGAATAGTAGTTTGGAATATTTTACCTCTTTCTATGACCCAATTATCCTTTCTTATTAGCATGAAATCAAATGCACAAAATTGATGCTAAAAATTCATGGTCATTTTTATCCCCCCTTTTTTTGGTGAGAACATAGTTTATACTGCCAAATGAAATGAAACGTCAGCAGACCTGTTCTTTGTGCTTAGATAGAAACACAAGCCATGGAGTTTGGAAAGAATCCTTTGATCTCTCAGACCTTTGTTTTCTTATATATAAATAGAGGTACTAGTGTTGATTTTTAGATTGATATTTTGAGGTTATACAGATCAAATGAAATAATGTTTGTAAATAGTACTTTTTAAAAGGTATGTAAAATTTACTTTATATATTAGAATTGCTACTTAAATGTGTATGATTGTAATGATGTCGACTAAGTTATGAGTGGACACAATGTATCTGTTTTATAAAATTGTAGTAATTAAAAATTTAATAGCACTTTAGTGTTATTCTAGTCTGATATCTTTTTTTTTTCCTGAGATTATGTTTAAGGTTTCCCAAAGAATTACTGCTTATTGACTGTACCTTTGGAAAAAAAAAAAAAAAACAAACACTGAGATAGCATTCTTGAATGTTTGCTAAATAACTCTATAATATCTGTGTTTAGAATGTGACCTCTCTTCCATTAGAATATAGTAATCTACAAGCCCCCATGATGATTAGCTGGAAATATTAGATGCTGTATTACAGAGGAATTGTATATATTGAGGCTTGTATGCCAGAGAGATATTAAGTTTTCAGTGCTACACTTGAGATTTGAAACATTTTAACTACAATTATTGAATAAGTCCTTAAATCCTAATGGCTATAAGAAATATATTCTGTGTCCTTAGATACTGAATTTGTAATAAGTTGTCAGAGGAAGCATAAGAATTATCATAAAGACTTTCAGAGAGATGAACAATATGATAATTTTAGTGGTTTTTAACATTTTAGAAAGATAAACTATTAGAAAAACACACACACACATACAGAATTGACTGAAAATGTGATCTAACAGACACAAGATAGTTAAATCTCACATTTCATATTTTTTCTGCTACTTAAATACCAATTTTTTTGTAAAATTAAAGCAAAACCAGATACTTAGTTCAATTTGCAGATTATATAGACTGAAACTTTTTGAGAAACAAAATATGTAATGTATCACCGTGCCATCAAATATCCTTGGTAAAACAATGTGCACACTTGATGTTACCTTTTTATTTTTTTGCAAAAGTAACAGGAAACAAAGAACAATTAATAATTCATTTAAGTCCATTGTTTTCACTTTTCTTATTAAGAATAACCCCGCATTAAACTAATATTAATTAACCACAATGTGAACATGAGGCAATTGGTT